AGTATTAGGAAAAATTCAGCAAAGAAACACTTTAACTCCTATGTTGTTTGAGTTTATGAACAACATTAAGTACTTCATAAGCACACTTGATCAAGTTCACATGCTAGACAAGTTAACTGTCTTAGACACCAAATTTCAAACTTGCAGCTAAGTTTTGCTGTTTGCAATTAACCAAACAGATTACATGTCTGAAGGAGATAGTGACAGATTGCAAGTCATCAATTCCACAACCTTGCACATTCATACAAAAGACAAAAAGATTGTGTATGGCATACGACTACAGTGCAATGAGAAATATTCTCAACTAAAAAATATGAAATAATAGTAACAACTTGGTTGCCTCTCCAATTACAAAACCAATCATACAAAGGGACAAAAGAAAAGATATGTGTATCGTCTAGATTCAATGAGATAGAGGTCGAATATTTCAAAGTAAGGGCAGAATACCTTAACCTCACCACCATCATCTGCAGAAGCAAGGAAAGATGATTTAGAGTTACATGCAACCTGCATAGAAAATATACTTAAAAACAACATGTCAACAGTATACATCTTTCTTTTCACCTATTACATGATAACATGAAAAACCATTTTAGGGAATGCTTTCTGTTTCATTTAAAATTTGTGCATTCCTTCTTTATGTTCCATTAAAGCGCTGTTAACTTTCTTTTCTCTCATGATAAAGCTTCAACTTGCTATTGCCAATAATGAATTGGCTTTACATCTTCCACTTCAAAAGCTAACTTTATGTAGAAAAGACAGTTTGCATAATTTCTAATATCATGCACAAAAATGCAACTGACATAATTTGAATAAGAATTTAGTATAATGCCCAAAAAGTGTTTCATGAATGCCTTTTCGTTTATAAAAGTCAATAACGCATCCATCACATCAAGACACCTTAAAACCAAGTATAATACAACAGAAAATCTTTGCCATTGTACATAACCTGTACCTGATTTATCTCCTCTTTATTATAGCTGTAATTCTCTAATGCTCTCCACGAGTTAGATGCCAACTACAAAGAGAATGATTTTAATTATCAACAGAAGAAAGATGGAAAGACAGGCCATACATACATACAGGGTGCAGCCAGATTCTTATAACCTCAGAAACATCAACATTGTCAGGCATTCGTGGGATTACCATATGTACATCAAAGCACTTCACTTCCTTTCCCGAAGAAACATAGATGATGTTTTCGTTCCCTGCATTATGAAACCAACCATTTGGACTCATCTAAAGATCTGGGTTGGATTAGAACTGCAAAATTGGTGCTTGCTGTAATGCGGATTCCTTTAAATTCAATATATATGGCCATAAAATAATTGTTCCAGGGAAAGCACCCCCAAAATTTTCTCTTCTCTAATGAGTTGGGGTAGATTACTTAAAAGAGTTTTGTCCAAAAGACGTTGCATACAGACGCAGAATTATAGCACCATGAAACTGACCTGAATTGAAGCATAATGAGGAAATGGGTTCCTCACTAACATTCATGACAAGCTGCACGTCTTTGCACCGCATATCAAACCAGCAAACGCAACCATCCTTATTTTCATCAAGTATTCAAAAAGTTCATCAATTCAAAGAGGGAAAAACAGATAAATTTCAATAAGAGTGGAAGAAAAAGAGTAAACGAACCTCGCCGGAAGTGGCGACGAGACCAGGCCGGTCACCTGAGGCGACGCAGCAGGTGGCGGTCTCCTTGTGACCTCTCAATCGTCTTGCCTCTGCCATTTGTGGCGGTTCTCGCTTTGCTCATTCTCCGTGGCTGTTTCTGCCTCAAGTCCTGAAAAGGAGATGATGGGCCTGGATCAAACGGTGACCGAAGAACTCTGTTGTTAATCAGCCCAATCCATCTTTTATACTTTTGATAAAACAGGGGCCCAGCTGAGTAGCCTAAGCCCTGAAGAACGCTTGATTCTATAAATCAGTTGGTAAAATAACCCATTTTTTCCTTTTTTTAATGGCGGAAGAAGATCGTTTAATCCAAAAGAGAAGGATTCCAAATTGCCATTCCTACTCCTCCCTCATATCCTATCACCATTTGAGGAGAATTTACGTTTCTATTTATATTATTTTTAAAAAAAGGGTTAAGGCCATCTATCGTCCCTCTACTATAAAAAATAGTGCATTCTAAACCTTCTACTATGAATTGGCTTCATGTCATCCCTCTACTATCAAAAATAGTGCATTCTAAACCTTCTACTATGAATTGGCTTCATGTCATCCCTCTACTATCAAAAATAGTGCATTCTAAACCTTCTACTATGGATTGGCTTCATGTCGTCCCTCTACTATTAATCAACCCTACTTGTCAACCCTACTTGTCATCCCTCTACAATGCAAAAGCATGCAAATGTCGTCCCTCCGTCCAATTAAGCTAACAGTTCTATTTATTGACTGTTAAGTGCAAACAGTCACACTCGGTTAGGCCTTTTTTTATTATTATTATTTTTTTTGCCACCTTGTCTTGTGGGCGGCACTTCATCTCTCACAAAATTTTTTTGCCTTTGCCTAGACTTCTTGCTGCCTCCCCAACGTGGATCTTGTAGGTAGACGGGAACTCAACCCCATTTTCTATTTATTTTGCCTCCAAAATTTCTCAAGTTTCTATATCTTTAGTACAATTTTTAACTTTTACAGTCACTTGAGATTTGAGTTTTAGAATCTCTACACAAGGAAAAGGAAAAGGAAAAGGGACGAAAAGGCAAGATCAACAGCAGCAAAGTAGAGAACGGCTTTAGAGGTATACAATAAAAATGGAGTTTTTTATGTTTGTGGTTAATTAATTTAATGAAGGATTTGTGGAGATTAGTAAAATAATCTTAGTTTAGGTTTTTAATTGGGGTTAGTTGACTCAATTGTCAATGGTAACCATTAGTTTATTATATTACAATGCATTTTGAATGAATTCTTTTGTTATTTTCTGACAATTTGTGTTGATTCTTTAGGCATTTTCTGTAATGGGAACCATGCAAATAGGAATGTATCTACACATTAGGGGCAAATTTGTTAAAGATCCATATTTGAGGTATGTTGGAGGTACCTTTCAGAGTATGTGGTTTGACTATGGTAACATAGATGTTGTGGGATTTAGAGCTAAACTACAAGGCTTAAATATTGACATTGATGGAATGAGTGATTTTGTTTGGTCTATGCACCTAAGGAAGAAACTTAAAAATGGACTTGTTTTAATAGTGTCTGATGAATTAGTTAATGACATGTTCCAACTACTTTTTGAACATGGATATATATATATATATATGTCTATGTGGAACATGAGGCAGAGGTATTAAAACAATTAGGCAAATTGGGCCCCGTAATGGTAGTGGGGCATCTTCAGCAAATGTTGTTGTGGGGGCTTCTGAGGTGGTAGGAGGTTATGTTGTAAATTTGCATAGATCAAAGCCTTTTTTAAATGATGAAGAAGTCCTTGGTTGTCTCACTCAAGATAGCCTCATATTAGGAGAACAAGCCATTACTACTGTAAGAGAACAAACCAATATTGCAGCAGCAAGCTCAAGTCGAACAGTGCAGGAGGCAGGGCTTACTGGTGATGAGTTCATAAATGTTCCTTGGCTAATTGATAACGAGGATGAAGAATGGTAAGAGGCAAGGAAACAAAATAGGCTGCTAAGGTCTCTATTTGGTGGCAGGTTTGAAGGGGAAGAAGAAACGACATTGTTGTTATTTGACCCAACACAAGATGTTGTTGAAGGACATAGTGATTCCATTGATTTAGATGACAATGTTAGCTTTGTCACTACCAGTGTTGATAGTGAGGCTGATGAAGCTAGAAGGAGGAGGTCACAACACAAGATCTTTGATGACACTTTCCTCATTCTAGAATTTGAAATTGGTATGATTTTTGCAAGCACCCAACAATTTAAGGATGCTGTTCTTGCACTATCAATTTACACAAGAAGAGAAATTGTTTTGATAAAAAATGATAGAAGGAGGGTTCGGGTTGCATGTGTGGATAAAATGTGTGATTGGACTCTTTTATTGTCAGTAGATTCTAGAACGAGGAGTTGGATGATAAAAACATATAAGGATGAGCATACTTGCGGTTTTAGTTGGAGAAACAAGAGAGTTAAAGCTACAACAGTGGCTAGGCATTTTATTAAAACCAGGAGTTATTCTGCATTGACTCTTTCTCATGCCAATATCCATCAAGGTATGCATGAAGAACTGCATCTTGAGATTACTATTAGTCAAGCTCGGAGAGCAAAGCAACTCATTATTAAGGAGTTTCAAGGTGGTTGCAAGAAGGAATATAATAAGTTATTTGATTATAGATGAGAAATATTAACAAGAAATCCAACAAGCACAGTTGAGATTTATGCAGAAAGGCCTACACCTTATTTGAATCCTATTTTTATAAGGTTTTATGTATGTTTTGTTGCTTTGAGAGAAGGTTTTTTTAATTGGGTGCAGACCTATTATTGGTCTTGATGGAGCTTTCCTCAAAGGTCCAACCAAGGGACAATTGCTATCAGCAGTAGCCAAAGATCCAAATAACCAAATGTATTCAGTAGCTTGGGCTATAGTAGAATGTGAAAGAACAGACAGCTGGACATGGTTCTTAGAACTTTTGGGGGTTGACTTGATGATAGGTGATGGAGAAAACTTCACATTTTTGTCTGATCAGCAAAAAGTATGTGAGTTTATTTTGTTTTTCCATCAATTTTGTTTTTTCTATAATTTTTTGTTCCATAGAAAATTTATTTCTTGTTTTTTAATTTGGAAATAGGGTCTAATTAATGCAATCCAAAGCTTATTCCCTAGAGCTGCACATAGGAGATGTGCTAATCATATATATGCAAATTTTAGGAAGCATCACAAGGGGAAGCAGTTACAAAAAATGGTTCTGGATAATTGCTAAATCAACTACTGTTGTAGAATTCAGGAGAAATATGGAAGAAATTAATAAGTTGAACCCTATAGCAAAAGAGTACCTCATGCAATATGATCTATAGTACTGGTGTAAGGCATTCCTTGATACTCATTGCAAATGTGATGCTGTTGATAACAATATGAGTAAGACCTTCAATGGATTTATTCTTGATGCAAGGCAAAAGGCTGCTATGTCTTTGCTAGAGGACTTAAGGTGGAAGTGCTCAAAAAGAATCATAGCAAACCAGGCCTTTGTAGACAAAAGTTTTGTTGGAGAATTTGGTCCAAAATTTTGGGAGAAGATTGAGCAGCATAGGGCTGCAATGTCTGGGTGCTATATGTTACCTAAAGCCCTTGTGGAATATGAGATCAAAGAAAGAAATGACTCATTTTTGGTCAATGTTTGTGACCATACATGCACTTGTAGGGTATGGCAACTCAATGGCATTCCTTGTAGACATGCCATGCTTTCCATCCAACATAGAGAGGAAAACTTTGAAGACTATGTGCACCCTCGCTACAAAAGACAAGCATACATTAACACATACAAGCACTGCATAATTCCTTTAGATGGCATGGAAAGATGGGAAGAAACAGGCATGCCTCCACTTGATCCACCAGTGGAAAGGAAGACGATGGGCAAACCTAAAAAGAAAATGCATTTAGAAGATTGGGAAATTTCTAATGGATCTAACATTAGTAGAAAGGGTAGGATCATGATCTGTTGAGTATGCTTCAAACAAGGCCACAATTCCAGAACTTGTCCATCCAAAAAGCCAAAAAATGTAAGTGTAATCTCATTTAGATAATATAAATTTGCTTAAGATTATTTGTTTCCTAACAGTTTTAAATAACTAAAGTTGAGTTTTTTTTCATTTAAGGAACAGGCTGAAGAGTCATCATCCACTCAAGCAAGGCTAAAGAGTCATCATCCACTCAAGCAAATGTTGTGAATAACATTCCCATAATAGTTGAGATGCCTATTGGAGATGCAAGAGTTGTTGGAGGTGTTCAAATGAAACTTCAACTGAAAAATCAACAAGTTGCTAGAGGTGTTCAACTGTAAATGCAACCAGAAAAGGAACTACTTGCTGCTGATGATCAACTGCAACTTCATGCAAAAAATTAACTACTTGCTACTGATGGTCAACCAGAAAATCAGCTACTTGCTGTTGATGTGCAAGGTCAAACTAGTAATGTCAGCTCAAATTTAATGGGAATTCAACAAGCCAACAAAGGAAGGAAAAAAGATGCCAACAATTCTGTCCAATGTCCACTTGAGCTACTACAAGAGTTCAGACGAAAATGTCAACACAAAAGAAAGGCAAAACCCATAATTAAAGAACTAGTTGTTGAATCTGGGAGTGGCACAATTAATATTGAAGTCAATGAAGCTACAAGTCATGGTCATCAAGTGCATGTGCAGGGTAAGGGGAAAGTTGTCCATGGCAACAAGGGGAAAGTCGTCCAAACCACCAAAAAGGTGATTTCTCATTTTAAATTATGTTCATCATAACATAAGTTTTCATTTTTATATTTATATTGCTACTTTAATATCGATAATTTAATTTCAAGTGAAAGAAAGTCGTAAGAAAGGGACCACATTTGAAGGATATGGGGCCTATTTCAACATAGAGATTGGATTGTGTATTTTAGATGTAAGATTTTAATCTTATTACAAATTAATTCATTTTTTTGTTATATTTCTTTGATGTGGTACTAAGTCTTTTCATTTCTATGTATTTTCATTTTTGTGCTTTTTTTTCTATTGTTCATTAGCCTGGACAAAAAAGTAGAAGAATCCTCTCAATTCCAAGGAAAAAACCAAAAGTTTCTGCAAAGGCTCCTATGGAGTCTACTGTTCATGCCACTGTTCATGCCCCTAGTCATGCCCCTGCTTCAAATTTGCATGAGTTCTTCAATATTGAAAGTGTCTCAATCCAAAAGTCAAGGAGGAACTCTCAACCCCAACTACAATATTGAAATGAGTCCTCCTCCTCTAAGCAGCAACAAAGATCCAAACAGAGAGAGATTGTTACATATCAACAATTAGAGGTAATTTAATTAGTTGTTAATATCAAAATTTCATCTATTTAATCTTATTCATGGCATAGGATATTTTATTTTGGACCATACTTGTTGGTAGGCACAAAGGTTTGCAAGACTCAGGCCAATGGAGCAACGTAGATTGGATGAAATGGAGTTGGCAAATTGGAGTGCTTTGATTCAAGCTATGGGTTCTACTGATGATGGAAACAATTGTCCTTAAAGTATTTTAGGGTGTATTTTGGTTGTTAAAACTAGTTACAAAAGTACCAGTCAAGCCACATTTCTGGATTTTTTTGGAACTTAATCAAAGGCAGGCAGCATGTATCAAGGCAGAAACTTGGCTTTTTTTTTTTTTTTTTGACAGACTTTGTATGTGATGGGACACTTCATTCCTGTTTATATAATATCAATATATCAATTTATGATATATGGTTAAATGTTTGCTCTATACAAATTATTTTCCTGCAACTATAGAAAAGTTTTGCCCTTTCATTTCCAGTTTATGTAATAGTAATATACCAGTGCAAATGATTTTCCTGCAAATATAGAAAAGCTTTGCCATTTCATTTTCAGTTTATGCAATAGCAATATACCAGTTTATGATATATCAGTTTATGATATAGCTATAAAAGAAACAAGAATGGTCCAGAAAGATTTGCCATTTCATTTAAATTGCAAAATACATTAGTCACTTTGACAACAACATCAGTACATTAATACTTCCAACAATCTACCTAATGCCAAACGTTTACACCAAAAGAAAGAACCAATAAACAATAAGATATATACAAAAAACTAAACAATTTCTAAAGTTCAAACACATAAAATTTACTTCCAAAGACCTCTCAAAAGTAGCAACCTTTTTTTCCAGTTCTGAATATGAATCCTTCAACACATGAAGTTCCCTATGAAAATCCAAATTCTCCTTTTTCACCTCAAGAACCTCAGTCATCAATGTTTTCTCTTTCTCTAACATTTTTTGTTGCTTCTCCCAATAGCGTGTTAACCATGCCTTTGCCTGAGGGTCAAACTCACCATCAAACCAAACAAAAAAATCACACCATGGTTTTTTCTCATCCGGATGTTGCTCATACCATTGAACTATTTTAGCATCATCTTTCTGCAAAAATCATAAAGCAACCAGAAAAAATCATGCACTCACCAGAATCATACCATATTAAGAAATAATGTATGGAATACTTACTGGATATTTGGAGCAACCCCAAGACCTTTTCCCATAGTTAAAACTAGTTAATGAAGTTTTCCTTACCGGTGGAAGATAACAGTAGCAAAATCCAATTTGCTGACAATTACAGCGTGATTGTGGCGTAGAAGGAGAACCAAAACCCTGACTGGCTGTAGACATTGTCAGCACCCAAACTTCTTGAATATGGTTTGCTGATACAGAATCCATTGCTATTGGACTTGGAAAGTAAGCCCAGAATAGAAGGAAGAAGTCGTAGCTGCTACCGCTCCGTGGGCTTCTTCTTAGTCTGCTCGAAAGGAAAGCCAGTAACTCGAGAGTAAAAAAAAAAAAACAAAATAGAGTATGACAAAACCAGTAGCCTTGAGCTTGAATGTGTTTTAGCGATTCAGGCAAAATGGGTTTCAAAAGAAAGGAAGAAACCCAAATTTCTAATTTTTGGAATTTTGATTTAGGGATTTAGATGGGTTTTGAAGGGAAGAAAGAAATTGGGGAAAAGATTGGGGATTTCTAATTTGGGTTTCGAAAGAAAGGAAGAAACCCAGATTTTTGATTTTCAAAATTTTGATTTAAGGATTCATATGGGTTTTGAAGGGAAGGGATTCAGATGGGTTTCGAAGGGAAAGGAAGAAAGAAATTAGGGAAAAGATTTAGGGATCTCTAATCTAGGTTTCAATTTAGTGATTGGGGGATTTCTTAGATACTGCGCGAGATGATGTGGCGAGAGATGATGTGGTGAGGGTGGGACCCACAAGGCAAGGTGGCAAAAAAAAAAAAAAGGGCCTAATCGGGTGTGACCGTTTGCACTTAACGGTCAATAAACAGAGCCATTAGCTTAATTGGATGTAAGGACGACATTTGCATGCTTTTACATTGTAGAGGGACGACAGGTAGAGTTAATTAATAGTAGAGGGATGACATGAAGCCAATCCATAGTAAAAGGTTTAGAATGCATTATTTTTTATAGTAGAGGGACGATAGATGGCCTTAACCCTTAACAAAATAATAAAAATATTATAATTATAATATTATATGATATTGTAAACTTACAATATAATGTATTGTTATATAATTATTTTTTCAGTTCTATAATTCACCAATGATATCATATTCATTTATTCATTTATTACTATATGATACTCATTTAATATCACATTATATTTATAAGTTCACCATCTTATATGGTATTGTAATTATAATATTTTTATTATTATAAAGATAAAAAAAGAGAGAGAGAGACAAATAATAAAATCAAGCTACAATAATAAAATTAAAAACAAATTTTGAATAATGAAAAAAATATATTATAGAAATATTGTAAAAAAATTTATCATTGAGTTGAAAGAAAGTAAATATATAAAGAAGACAAGTTAACACTGTGAAAAGATGAGAGAAGAGAGAAGAGATAAAAACTATGCTTTATATTTTGGCAAAATGTCCAAATCTACTCTTAAAGTTAGACAATGGGGATAGATCCACCTCTAAACAAGAAAAAAAGAGACATATTCATCTATAAAATTTTTAACTTAGATAAATCATCTTAAATTTAATATGTAATGTCATTTGATATTAACAATCTATTAACAATAAACTTATTGACAATGTAACAAATTAACGAATTACTTGATATCAAATGACATCACATGTTGAGATGATTTGTTCAAATCATACACTTTGTTAGTGGATTTATTCCTTTTTTTTTTTTTGGGTAGATCTGTCCTTATAGTATAACTTTAAGGGTAGATTTGAATATGTTACTTTCTATTCTTCTATTTCTTCCGTTCTCTAATTTCATACAATGCAGCTTATATATAGGTTAAGTAATAATGAATATTACATAGATTCATGAGGATGAATTTAAGTAGATTCATTAATAGAATTTAATTAGAACACTGAATTTTTGTTAGCTCCATAAATGTGAAGGTTTTATGAATGCAGTGGTTTATAAATGCAGTAGTTCCATAAATATGATTAATGAAACTTTAAATGAAATCAAGTGAAAATGAAAGATGAAAAATGATAAGTGAAATGTATAAGGTCGAATGTGTAAGATAAAACATCTATTTATTGTATAATTCATAATTAGAAGTACTTATCTACATTTTAAACCGGAAACAAAACAAAATTGCCGTGGAAGAATTTTCCTTTTAAAAGACGTGAATCACTTTTTTTTTTTTTAATCGATCGGGCAGTGATTCCACCCATAATTATTGTCCAAACTTTGAAGCATTAATTGAATCTTCTCATCTAACAGTGGAGGCAACAGCATGTGCCCACCATCTGAGATTATCTTTGATGTCAATCTCATTGCTCGAGTTAGGAACTCTCCAATTCATCAATGGCTTCTCCTTCCTTCTCCGGTCCATAACTTCCCATGCTTCTGATAAATAAGGTCTGGAAACTACAGCTTCTTCAACCTCATCACTCTGTTTAATTTCATCGTCTTTCTTCTTTCCTAGTCTCTGCAACCCAGGAACAATCTCGACCAATCTCGAATCCTTATTGTCTTCCTCGGTGAAAACAAAGCCCAAATCCATAAACCCTTTTAGCTCTTCGAACTCCAATTCCGACAAACTCTTGCTCGTCCCCTTCTTCCTTGTCGAAACCATCTTCTTCTTACGTGTAATTTCTTCGATTTCACGGCTACTATTCGCGATATCCATGGTCATTTCCTTGCCGGAAAGAACTGGATGGAGCTTTGAAGTGAAGAAGACCGAGTCCGGCGACAAAGAATCCGAGCTACTAAAGCTAGTATACATAATCGAGCTCAACTGGTCACTCATCGACCTGGTATGGGTTTTTGGCATGCGTGTAAACACTGTAATCTCCGTTTCCGACGAATTTTCTTGATCTTCTCGATCTGGGTTTGCTTCAAAACTAGGCGATCTAAAAGAAGATGGTTTCTCCCTCAAGATTTCCATCTCGAACCAGCAGGAATCAAAGAGTTGAATAACCTCTTCAGGGTTCATCAATGGCTGTTGAAGCGAAGAGAGAAAGAAGAAAAATCAGAAATGAGAGGATAAAAGGAGGGCGGACGCCAGAAACCAATATATAGGGTGGGAAGATGACGGAGATACCCTTGAGATAATTCAAGAATTACGGAAAGCATTCAACGAAAATTCGCACGTTTTCCACTTGGATCACATTTCTGCATGGGCATTGTCGTAATATAATATTTAATTTAATTTATTGAAGTTTGTTTTATTTTTATTTTTATTTTTATTTTTATTTTTTTGGGGGCCGAGTGGACCGAGTTGCTTTTCCCGGAAAATACAGTGATCAAAGCGTGTTTGACGTGGCTTTAACAGTAAGCAAAACATTATTGTGTTTGGTGGGAGTCGTTGGACTCAATTGAACTTCCATTAGCTTAGTGGTTACCGGAATTATTTATAGAAAATGATAACATATAGTGAGATGTCATATCAAATTATATAAATTTATAATTATATTATATAATTAAATATTTTTTATTTAAGATACACAATGGTATTGTTAACGATCTAATTAGTTTAATTTTTTTTATAAAATTAATAAATGTTACTAACGAATTGTTAGTCTAACGTCCCGTTTGATATAGTGGTTTTGGGATAGCGACTATCGGTTTTACCTAAATCGCTAAATATAGGTGTTTAGTAAATTTATATATTTCGAAACTGCTATAAATAAAATGTTTGGTAAAATTTTTATTTAGCGATTTGAGATTAGCAAATAACGGTTAGAGTTCAAACCGCTAACAGATTGAAAAAGTTAGTTTATGTAACTTTTTGTACCAAACCGCTAGCGGATTAAAAGTTTTTAATTTTATTTACAAATTTATCCATTTTAATTTTTTAATTTGTGGTCACATTTTTTAATTAATAATTATCTAATAAATTTCAATTTTGTTTTTTTTACCTTT